GCCTCTCTCATCACATTTCAAAGGAAATTTAAGCTCAGTGATTTCAGTGTATTCATTAGGAACTGTGTGTGGGGAAAAAAAGGAAATTAAAGCCACAGTAAGTACAAAGGCAATGAGAAGCACGGGAAGGAAACAAACAAAAGGAAAAGGTGAGAAAATTAACAAAGGACAAATGCTGTTATCTGGAAAGATCGATAGGCTGGCAGACCCTGGCAAGTGTAATTAAGAACAAAAAATGAGGAAAGAAATTACTAGAATCGGGAATGAAAAAGCAGTGTCACTTCAAGGCTTGCAGACAGAAGGAAGGCAACAAAGGGCCGTCATAATGTTATGCCCCAAATAACTGATTACTTAAATGAAACGGTTGACATTCTCAAAATATTACATGTAGTAAAACCTTCTATAGCTATTAAAGTCTATCGTCAACTTAAAATAAAACAAACAAAAAAGGTACGGACAGTGAAAGCCCATTCGGGGTGGTGGCCTGACAAAGGTGGGGGGAGAGAGGAAACTTCACAAAGTTGTGAATGACCAGTGTACATGCAGCATGGCGTGTGTGATAGAAACTCATCATACGCCATAATTTCAAAAATTCCATAAAGAAAACTCAAGGCGCATAACTCTATTTGCCAGTCTTATCAAGATTAATAGAAGAAATCCCAATCTATTTCAATCTACAATCAATTTCGGAATCTGGAGGAGTTGGGAACATTTCCCAATTTGCTTCATGAGGCTATCTTTATTCTTAACCAGAATTAGATAATGAAATTTTAAGTAAAAGTTATAAAGCATTCTTTCTTACAGATAGAAATGGATGGAAAATCTTTTAAAATTCGGTAAGAACGTCAGCAGGATTCAAATTTATGATCAAGGAAACCTGTGGTTTGATATACTTGTCAACATTAGAACTCTCCCAGCATTTGATCTTGGATATTGCTTTTGTCGTATGTTTTCCCTCTTCTCAGTGAAAGCATCCTGCATCCCTAGAAGACCCAAAGAAGACTGTACCCATCCAGGAAAGCCGCTCCAATCCTCCCACCACAATGTGGGTGATGAACACATTCCAGCAGTTTTAGGACAAAGGGGATGCTGACATTGTCCACCACGATGAAGATATCAGCATTTTACACATCCTAATCTTACAGTCTTCACAGAAAGCATTCTATAATCTTAAACTGTTGGATTTCACTCTTAGAGTGTTTCTATTGCTGTGAAGAGACACCATGACCATGGCAACTCTTACAAAGGAAACCATTTCATTTGGGCTGACTTGTAGTTCAGGGGTTTACTCCATTGTCCTCATGGGGGTTTGGTTCGTTGTCATCATGAAAGCATGCAGGCAGACATGGTGCTGGAGAGGTAACCAAGTGGTTTACATCTGCATTGGCAGGCAGCAGCAAGAGAGATATCCTGGGCCTGGTTTGAGTTTCTGAAACCTCAAAGTCTGCCCCCAGTGGCACACTTCTTCAAGTGTGTCAAGGCCACACTGACTCTAACAAGACCACATCTCCTAATAGTGTCACTCCTTATGAGCCTATGGGGCCATTTTCTTTGAAACCAGCACGGCATCTTTCCTAATTACTTTGTTGTAGTCTTGGTCTTATTGTTGACTGTGGTCCCTCTTACGTGTTGTCTATTCATGTGAATACTTTTAAGTATTATTTTTATTATTTAAAGTGTGATTATTTTGTCTGATGTATATCTGTGCACTATGTGTGAGCCTGGTACCGGAAGAGGCCAAATGAGGGCACCAGATGCCCTGGAGCTGGAGTTACTGACAGTTGTGAAGTACCATGTGAGTGCTGGGAACTGACCGTGGGATTCTCTGGAAGAGCAGCCACTGAAAACTCTCAACTGCTGAGCCATCTCTCCAGCCTTGCTTTTCATTTTATAACTTGAACTCACCGATTTTCTTTTGGAGTCCTGCGTGGGAAGCTGTAAAGTCCCCTCCCCCATTTCCTTGCACCTCCCAGGCACACACTGGAGGAGGGATCCTTGAATATAAACAGCACAGGCCCAGGCATCTGGATCTGCCCTAAGCCTGATGCACCATGGCTAGTTGCAGGATTACCCTCTCCAGAGTCCAAGCAGAAAACATGCTCCCTCTCTTTTCCCTGGGATACAATAAAGGTTTTCTAGTCTCTGACATGGAAGGGTGCTTTGTTTTAGTCTGTGGATTTATGAAGAACTCTTCATTCTAGCTCCCTACCTCTCACAGGGACAAGATCCAGCTTCCTTGAGGGTCTGCGTTAAAAGTCTAGACTTCCATCCTTGAATCTGACCTTGTTCTGCCTCTCCCTGGGTTCCGGCAGCAATATCAGCTTGTAGGGTACATGGGGGTTTGTTTCCAATTCTAGTCTGTAGGATTCTAGTCTGACACAGCCTATTTCTGTTTTGTATGTTTGCCATTTCTTTATTCTGAGAAAGGGATTAAGGGGTGAGCCTACATATCCCAGTAGGCTTTACTCTCAGATCGTTTTATACCATACAAATGAAAATAACCAGGTATTGAAAACACGAGGTAGACCTGGGCTTACAGCCCTACTTATTGGCATTAGTGATACTAACACCTCAGATCGAGGAGCAACCCAGTTAAGGGACTGACTGTGTCTGCAGATCCTCCAGGTGTCTGGGCAAGCACACGGTGTAAACAGGAATTGATCCCTTGTCCCATCCAAAGGTGGTTATTTTCTAGGTTTCTGATCTTACAGGGCACAACATTACTGTTATGTTTTGGGCTCTTAAATGTGACTTGTGCTTTCTGCAATGTGTTCCCAGTAACCACACTCAGGAGAAGAGGCTCATCTATCTCTGTGGTGCTAGCCAGGGTTCTTGGGCACTTGCAGAGTGGGAGTAGGGGAGCAAGTCCAGCGATTGCACCACCAATGCAGAGGGGTTTGACAGGAAGAAACTTCCAGCTGATGTGTTTCCCCTCTCTGGTGTTTTTATTCTCTCTCTCTCTCTCTCTCTCTCTCTCTCTCTCTCTCTCTCTCTCTCTCTCTCTCCTTACTAGCAGCCAATCCTTTGCAGCTCATTCCTTCTCCTGGAGACGGGATGGGGCGTACCCAGGAACCAGATGTACACCCAATCTGTTTGCCAGATGTCTCTGCCTACTGCCCCTTCCCAGGCGGGATACTGTTTCTTCTTTGAGGGGAGCCCTGGTCAATTATCTTTTTTTTTTTTTTAAATGAACCTTCTCCAAAACCAGTCAGTGTTCTTTCTTTGCTCTTGACTCTGCAGCTGTCAAATTTTGCACTGACTCTCTATATTCCTGTCGGCAAACAGCATGGGTGTGTGTCAACACACTCATTTCAAGGGTACAACATGCCACTGCAAACCGTGTGGCTGGACTCACTACCCCATTCCCATGCTTGGGGGTACCTTCCAGTTTAGTCATTTCTTGATAAGCCTGTCCCTCATTTTTAGTGTCACACTGTCTAACCCATAGGAGTGACACTCTGGTGGCTGAGATGCTCTGGAATCTGTGGGAAGACAGGGAACAGAGGCCCCTAAGGGAATACAGGGCAATCTCCGATGTGGGTTTTCTGTACTGTGCCTCTGGGGATACATGGGGTCCAGCCTTCCTCACCTCTGATGACGGCTCTCCTCAGTATCTTCCTCCCTTCTCAGAATCACAATGAAGAAGACTTCTCGGGCTAGGGCCTCTGTGGCTGGTCCCCTTTACTTCTCCTTGTTCTTTTACTGTCGTCCTTTGAGTCCCAAAGACCAAGTTCTGGTTTGTCCATCAAACAAGGAATTAGAGTTAAGGTTTTAATTTTCCAAACCTGTTTTAAAAGAAAGAGAGAGAATAGCCATACTGATTAATATCTTGCATATCACCATAGAACCTTCATCTGGAGATGGATGGAGATAGAGACAGAGACCCACACTGGAGCACTGGACTGAGCTCCCAATGTCCCAAGGAGGAGCAGAAGGAGGGAAAATATGAGCAAAGAAGTCAGGACCACGAGGGGTGCACCCACCCACGGAGACAGTGGGGCTGATCTATTGTGAGCTCACCAAGG